TATACGACAAGAAAACATGGAATGTGGTGTGAAGGGAGTAAGTCTGCAAGAGAGGATATTGTGCCACTGGTATAACACCATAACACCCGATGATGATGGCTTGGACGGGCGTGAGCTTCACTGGGTGAAAAACTGACTGGATGGCTGGACCCAGAGCTGTGGTGAATGGAGTTAAATCCAGTTGGTGGCTGGTCATAAGTGGTGTTTCCCAGGGCTCAGTAGTGGGGTCAGTTGTGTTCAATATCTGCAAGGTGTCAATTGAAAAAAAATATGGGGACAAGGAAATGAGAAGCAGTGATTCTGGGATTCTACAGTCAAAAGGGGCTGAGAGTTCTCCTGAAAGCCAAGAAGAAGATTCTGGGGGTGCCAGAATATTTTGCTGTAGCCTAGACATCCAAGATTTTTAACTTGTAATTAGCATTTTGGATGCAATTAAGTATCTGGCCTCTTTTGTGCATGTGGACATGAATGCCTGTGAGAGATTGCATTTAAGGAGAGATTAGAAATGCAAGGGCTTTTGTCTATGGAAAACAAGAGGATGTAGTATAGCATATACTATTCTGAATCATCCATGGAAGGTTGATAAAGGCATTTGATTTTATTAAGCCTGCTGTTGTATTAAAGCATAGATATCAGTGCAAATGCATTGCTATTGAATTTAAATACATCATTTTTACATGTCATTAACTTGCAGAACTTTCTTCTGTGGGATACTAATGAACACAGCTTATGAAACTTCAAGTGATTAATATAAACACTAGTAGCATCTGTAGTTATAGCTGGTAAGAGACAAATTCAAGGCTTTCTGTTTTTATTTGTCAGGCCATAAAATAGTCAACTTCTGAATGTCAATAAGAAGTAGCAATAAAGAATGACACAGTCTGATATAGAATAAGTTTTATGGCCTTCCTCTGATGAAGCTAGTTAATGTATCAGAGACAAGATACTCATTCACATTCTCATTTGCTGTAATTAACATAGCAATATTGATTAGCATAACTAACGGTGGGTCACAAGGGGAAAAAAATGAATAAAATTGCAGTTCTAGTTCATGGTTACATCTATACATTTTCACATGTACTTATTTTGAAACAATGAAAAAGTGACTCTTTGGGCATAGGCTGAGCATTGCAAAGTAGAGAACCTTTTTCTGTTTCTCCTGAAGACATTTATAGATAGCAAAGTTCAACTGGTGAGTTGATTTGCTACTGATCTAAGTCAATGTTAAGTGAGAGGAGATTAATCTCCACGTGCACCTCACTGCAGCAGCTGGGATGGTGTTGGTTATGTGAACAGCAAAAGGGTGAGCCAGGGCTGCAGAGTCAGGCTGTGCTTTCCTGGAGTCTGAATTTATTTCCTCTCTGCAAGTCATTTTCTTTGATGTGAGGCTTCACTTCCATCAGAGAGCTGTTTTCTTCATGGGTGGGTCTGTGAGGTCTGGGTAAAGTTTGCCAGTAACTCTTCTCCCCTGGAGAATAAGGACCTTGCAAATCTGGTTCTTGGAGTTTCATTACTGACCTCAGTAGAAGGAAGCTTATCTGGAAAGCTGCACTCTGCAGTGCTCTTCTTCAATATTCCTGCCTTCCTTTTGTGGTTTTTGTCATCCTCGTTTATCTTAGGTTGAAATATACAGCCCAGAAAGAACTGTGGCGACTGCTTTTGTGAGACACCTGGCCCGTGTGCCTACACTGCTGAAATACAGTGGGAGAAAACAGAAAAAAATCTCTGTTAGGCCAGTAAAGAGCAGGAGATAATTGAAAAAAGACTTGCTTGTGCTTCTCTCCACTATATTTTTTTAAAAATGGGACATTTGTGAATAACGTGCTTTGTGGTTCCCTGAAGCTCAGAACAAGTACATTGTCTAAGCCACTCGGAGTAGGGATTTTAAACAATGGTGCGACAAGGAGCTGTCGTTCTGCTGCACTCGTTGTCGGAGTTAACTGGTTTTTGTATTGAATGGGGAAGTCTCTAGTCCTTTTGTCTACCTCATTCAAAATCAAGACCTCCTAAAGGACAGAAATAGTAAGTAGCGTGGAGCGTGGAGCTGGAGTGGGAATTGTGCAAAATTTATGTAGTCTGTGAAATAAAGCGAAGCCCTGAGAGGTTCATGGTTTTCTGTTCCTGAGGAAGCAGGTCTGTGTTCTTGGAAGGTGGCATGGAGGCATGTGAGACTTTCAGTCAGAAGGAAAATGCTTGTGTTCCTCACATGGAAGAAATGTTTGTAGAGAAAACACGCACGTTCTATTCTTCAGCAAATAATTAAGTGAAACGGAAGAAAGCAGTGTTCAGGATCTGAATACAGGGAAGTGGTAAAAACATTCTTGCAAAATTCTACAAAATACAGACTAAATGCTTTTATTCAGTAGAAAGGTGACTGTTAACAATGTGGATTTACCTCTTTACTGGTTAGAACTTGATCCTGAGTTGTGGCATGAATAGACCTAGGTGGACCTTAGTGTCTTCTGGGCATGAGAAAAACTTCTATAAATGGCTGTTCCTGTAAAGTGTGTGAATATCCAAGGATGCTTAGCCATGTGCCTCTGAAATATCTGTTTGTGCAGAAGTCCTACGGGGTCTACTTCACATCCTTAGTGTCTTCTGGGCATGAGAAAAACTTTTATAAATGGCTGTTCCTGTTGAAAGTGTGTGAATATCCAAGGGTGCTTAGCCGTGTGCCTCTGAAATATCTGTTTCTGCAGAAGTCCTACGAGGTGTACTTCACAGCACTGACCTGTGAGGGCTTGGGAGGAGATAGTAGGTGGGTTCCATGTGGGTTGAAGCAGGATGAGTGGGGCACACATATTGCTTTGTCATGTGGAATTTTAATAGGTAAAGCAGTGTCAGAACAGTTAGTGTCCTTCTCTGACAGAAGCACTCTTCAAGGGTGAGGGACACAATGTGTAGAGGTCTGTGTCATGAGGGATCTGAACCACAATCTGAAGGACTAAACAAGGAGGCCACAGATCTCAGAAGCAATTCCCCCTTGGAGCAGGGCTACAATTATTTACTTCCCTGAAGACTAAAGAGCAGGCTCAGGGATCAGATCAGTCCTGCTTTCCTGACTGAAGAAACTGGAAGCTGCTTTGTGAGAAGTACCTCCTGGAGAAAGATTTCACTGTGGTGGGATTTGGGGCAGAGAATTTGTAGTTATAGTAGGAGACAGCTTGCAAATGCCAGCTTTGCAGAGAGAAGTCTGCTCTTCCCTCTCCTTCATCTGTGTTAGTTTGAAGTCTCTCATTCTCAAAAGATCAAACAAAAGCCATGTTCTTGTAAAAAGTTCCTTCCTAAACTACAATTATTTCAGACTTTCCAGAGTTGATTCAGATGATGAAAGAGGCCACCTTAACACAACCCATTCTGTGATTTACCAGCACTTGACTCCTGAAGACTTTTTCAGTTCCAAGTCCATAGTGGGTTTGTTTTTAGTTTGCTTTAAATAAACAAACAAAATCGTCTGAAACAGGGTTCTGCCTCTAAAAGCACCTTCAAGGAGCTTTACAGTTCCTTCTGCTTTTCATCTTTGGTGTCTAAGCTGTTGCCTTATACCTCAACTGCAAGAAGCTGAGTGTTGATTTCTAAGCACAGTGCATTTGAGGAAAATAAAGCAGAGCAGAGCTAGCCTCCAAACCAAGTAAATAGGTCTGTATCAATTCTGCTGTAGAGTGGAAAACAACACTGAAGTCTTCCAGGTTGCAGTAAGAAAGTATTCTCTGCAGACAGAATAAAAATGCCATTATCTGCTGTTTAGTACCTCATTTCTTTTAATTCTGGAATCACACTTGCATTCAGTCTGTAGTCCTTCATAGGCTGTTTTTCATGGAGAAATTATAATCTCTTAGATGATAAAATGATTAATTACTTCATTTTGCTTTCTGTGTAACCTTCATAGGCTGTTTTTCATGGAGAAATTAACTCTCTATAATCTCTTAGATGATGAAATTATTAATTACTTTACTTTGCATTCTGTGTAGCTTCAGTTTCAAGTTTCAGCTGAGCGGGATAGTGAGGCATCACAGGGTCAGTGCAAGTACAAAGGCTCAGGGCAGTCAGCCTTCAAGTAGGTTTGCTGCATCCAGCTAAGATAGCCTGTCAATATGCCAAAGCAAAAGCAAACACAATATTTTTAGTAGTTGTATCTGCTTATTTAAAATACCAGACTCTTAAAAATAACACTGTTGCACAATAAGGTCTGATATTGCTTGGAGTTGTATTAATTTTCTTAGTTTTTTATCAGACAGAACATGATGTTGATACCAGGGATGGAGATGGAACCTGCTGACGTTCTTCCCTACACCAGATTAGATTTAGAAAAATCTACACAGAGTCTATAAACTGGAAACATATTTTGTTTCGACCAATTGAAATGTTTTATATTGATTTTGGGCTGTATTTGATTTTCTAAGTACACTTAGCACCTAAATCTACAGAACTTTTGAAGTGGTATTTTGTTTTGATTGGAAAAATCATACTTTTTCACATAAAATGTTAACAGACTTCCTCCAAAGCTGAGAGTCTGTTCAGATTCTCCTAGTTAAGAAAATAATTTTTATTTAAATGAAGTGACAACTTCAGGCAATGAATAAATCACTGGAGGAAATCCAAAACAATTTATAGTCACCAAGTTATTCCTGAAATGCACTTCTTGGAAGAACACCAGAATGATTACTCTCATGTCACAACTGTGAGGTTGATTTCATAGGATGTAATCTACAATGGCTAAGAAGGTTATAGATCCCAAAAGAAGTTATGAAAAAGCAACAGATCAATTTGCCAAACCATGTGCATAAAAGTTCTTATTTTTCTCTATATGTTAAATGTTTTGACAGTGCTGACAACTGTTTTAAAATGTTGTTGATGATGTACATTGACCTTAGTATATGGTACCTGAACACTCCAAGTTTCAAAGCTGCAGAAGTTTCTGGGCAAGGCTGATTTTGATCATTAGTCCCATAGTGAAGAATGTATCTCAGCTTCTCCGTGTCTGTTTTTCTGCCTTTCAGATAGAGGAATTTCGCAGACTGAGGACACATGTTAAAGGTGCTGAACTTTTGGAGGGCTGTGATGGAATTCTAGGAGATAACTTCAGACCAACTCAGCCACTTAGCGACAGAGTCATCAGGGCCGCATTTCAGTAGCAGAGGAAGAAGAACAACAAAAATAAATCTTTATTCAGGTAAGTAAAAGCTTAGCAGAAAAAGCAAAACATTGAAATAATTTTCATAGAGGAGAACACCACTGAGTTCATTGCAGTTAATCTTATGCTATATTGTCACAGTTGTCATTTTGACACTATACTGTTCCGTTTTATCCTGTGGCATAATAGTTTGGTTACTATTGGTTCTTTACTGGCTGGAATTGTTCAGTTAGTATTAGTTTTTTTCGTGGTTGGAATCTGATACACTATTTAGTGAATTGAAATATATCTATTGACTTCAGTAGGCAGTGGATCTCACAGAGTTCGATCATGGTTGCTTCTTGTAGCTTTAAATTTCTCCTACTGCAGCGAGCAACAGCACGGTATGCATAGGTTATGTGGTAGATTTCCCCAGTTACTGAGGTTCACTGGTTGATTTCTTACTGTGTTTTTAAAAGACCAGTCATAGGTGAATCTTACTAGAGTTATCTGTTAAAAAACAGGGTAGTAGTTCAGGAAGTAGGGTTTTTTTTTTGTATCTCTTCTCCCTGATTGGCAATGCTAGTTCTTTCCCAGCAAGACTGCATCTTGGACAAAACCAGTGCAGATAGAAGAGGAAAGTAATTAACTTCTGTAATGGCTAATTTTTCATATATCATTCATCAAAGTAGTGCTGCTTCTTGTCTTCAGTGATGTTTTGAGCCTTCATTGGCTCACACAGCAAGAATTTAAGGATGATGTTGGATTCAATGCATAAGACATAATGCGCATGTGAATCTGGATTATCCCCAATTCAGTTATTAAAACCTCCCATGTTGTGTTCCCCTAGACTCTATCAGCTACAAGATAAATTCCCTCAATACTCAGCAGTTACTCCTAAACCTCATTATACTTAGTTAATCAATGTTTTAATATCACGAAAAACCTGGTAAAGAGATTCTTAGAGAGTTAAAGAAAATTTGTCATGAAGACGACTAGTTACTTTGAAGGTTGTGCGTCAAGACACCACATTTTTGGTTGATTTTATAATGAATTGGTCTCACCTTGATGCAAATAGTAAGACAGCTGATCTGGGAAGTCTTCAAGAAAAGAATGAACCTGTTCACTTTCTTTCTTTAATAAGCCCTACTACTTTTTAACATAATAAAAAAACATTGGGAACTCCCTATTACCCTATTTTTACTGGTAGAATCCATTATATAAAAACATCAGTTTTTCTATCTGCCCATTTCTTCAAAGCCATATGCTCACAAGAGAACCAATTCATCCAGAGTTTCACCTGGAATTGTGCTGCTGAAAGGCTTTTTATAAACACTTTTGGGTAAGGGCATTTATTTGTACATTAAATTCTTACCTTATCTAGGTCAATGGTGGAACTCCTTAGTTCACATCAGGCTCAGTTGTGGAGTTAAGCCTCTTCAGAGCCTGCTATGGGTCCAGCCCCCAACTTCATATGGAGTGAACAAATGATCAGGCAGCAGATAACCCCTAAAAGAGATCGATAGCTCAGTACTTCCAAAAATGGGTCCATTAAAACCAGGTGGGAAGATTATCTTTCCTCCTGCATATGACAGAAATTATTAAATGGGCTAGGACAGTGGCCAACAATTTCATGGTCTTTCCATACAGTGTAAGCATTCAATATAGTGTATGCATCTAAACATTTTTGAAATAAAGGTTTATTTGTATTTTATAACCCTATTTAATATCCACATGCCAGAAGTTAAGCAAAGAAAGCAAAACATTGGTCCTTTTATAAATATTGTTTTCTCATTCCCATATTTAATTTTGGACACATTCCTAAGTCCAGTTCTCTATTACATGGTTCTCTGCAGTCACCAAATGTCATCACTTTAATCTTGAAATGGATGTTTCAAATTCATCCCAGCTTCTGCATAAAAAATTACTTGGGAAAATCATAGCAATATTAAAGTACAATTTTTCTCAGAAAGTGAATAATGCCCTCAGGCCAGTGCAGGTAATTCAAGTCTGTAACAGTGAAATTACTTGACATGCTGAGTTTGAATTTTAAGCATGAAAGAGTTTCCTTTACAATGCTGGAATTGAAATGTAAAAAATTTCCCTTTTGCTTTCATGTTTGAAATTTTATTACATTTGTCAATACCTATAAAGATTTGTTTTAAAGAATAAGATTTATCTTGGCCATGCTTCACAAAATAATCTGCAGTTTTAATTCCCAAATGATGGAATTTTTAATGTAAAATGATAGTAGTCACTGTAGGGCTATGCTAATTATGGACTCTCAAGCACTGAGAAAGAACTGTGGCTTTGTGTAGCCCACAGAAGAAATGGCACTTGGCTCTATCTACACCTGATTGAATTATTTATCAGAAATTCATTTGGCCAGGTCTTCTTTTTAGTTTTGGATGCATCAGTCCAAAGAGCACTGAACCAATCAAGGGTTCACAATATATTCTTGCTATTGAGTTTGTCTCTGGGGAGCTGGGAACTAGGTACATGAACTGTAAAAAGAAATCATGTGGCTTTGATCGTCTTTCTTCTGTGCAAAGGGTGAGAAAGAGAAGAAAACAATCCTACCTACTTTGTAGTGATTTCCTCTGTTTTCTCCAGGAGGAAAGTGTTGAGAAGCAGTAGCTCCTCACGCAGACCTCAGACATCCTCAGAAGAGACACCTTCCCTTTTTCATAGGAATGGGCCTTGAGCTGGGACTTGGGTTCACAATATATTCTTGCTATTGAATTTGTCTCTGGGGAGCTGGGAACTAGATACATGAACTGTAAAAAGAAATCATGTGGCTTTGATCGTCTTTCTTCTGTGCAAAGGGTGAGAAAGAGAAGAAAACAATCCTACCTACTTTGTAGTGATTTCCTCAGTTTTCTCCAGGAGGAAAGTGTTGAGGAACAGTAGCTCCTCATGCAGACCTCAGACGTCCTCAGAAGAGACACCTTCCCTCTTTCATAGGAGTGGGCCTTGAGCTGGGACTGCTGACACTGGCTGAGTATTGCTATGAAGGCTCAGTAGCAGATGGGGAGGTAATAGTGATGCCAGAGGGAGCATTTCTTCCTTTCAAAGAGGAGATTGCCTTACATTTTAAAGCTCAGATATGTCTTGAATTCTGACACTGGCTGAGTATTGCTATGAAGGCTCAGTAGCAGATGGGGAGGTAATAGTGATGCCAGAGGGAGCATTTCTTCCTTTCAAAGAGGAGATTACCTTATATTTTCAAGCTCAGATATGTCTTGACTAGTAGAATTACAAACCCACTGGTGGACTTCTTTCCTGCATGGTGCCCCACTGCCAAGGCTGCTGGAACTCCTGTCAGTAGAGTTTTTAAGATTTACTTTTATTCCAAGCCAGTGTGGTGCAGCCACTTGAAGAACCTTGAGGAACATTAGTTTTCCATGACATCGTCACTCTGTCAAGGAAAGAAGGGGACACATGTTTCCATACGTGTTGTATGCACAGGAGTAAAAGAGGTTGCTTGAAAGGTCTAAGTAGTTTTGACTGAATTAGAATGCAGGGTTTTTGCGTGCCATGGGGTTTTTTTTTTCACTCTGTCAAGGAAAGAAGGGGACACATGTTTCCATACGTGTTGTATGCACAGGAGTAAAAGAGGTTATTTGAAAGGTCTAAGTAGTTTTGGCTGAATCAGAATGCAGGATCTTTGCATGCCATGGGTTTTTTTGGGGGTGAATGTTCCTCTATCATGAGAAAAAGCAGATCTCGAAATACCTCCCTCCAGGAGGTATTTCTAGAATGAAGTTTGGTGAGGCTCTAAAGAGAGCCTTCAGGAGGATGTAATAGGTAGAACTGTGTAGCTCCGCTTTGTTCTAACTCAGCGGACTGCAGAATAAGTTTGTTGCCTAGGTAGTTTTGGCCCTGCTTTTCTGCTAAAATGCATTTCTGTCCTGTCCTGTAGTCTGGTGTTAATGAGTCTTTGGACTCTGTTGTGTCGCTGTTTCTGAAGTACATCCTCTAGAGAACAGCCTTTGCATCTTTTCTCTCCTGCAGTTGCCAAAGTTTTCGCATCTGTTTTCTTTGAAACCCCCCCCTTTTTTTTTTCCTTGTTTCTAACCTTTTTGTATCAATCCAGTAGTGATAGAAACAGGCAGGTGTTAAGGGATTTGGGGATGAAAGCTCAGTACAGATTTGCTTTTAGACATGGAAGGTGAAAAAATGGAGACCAGTGTTAGGTGAGAAAGAACAATAGAATCACAGAATAGCTGTGGTTGGAAGGTCCCTCTGGAGATCTACTTGTCCAGTCCTCTGCTCAGGGCTATGTCCATTTGGGTTTTGAATATCTGTAAGGATGAAGACTTCACAACTCTTTGAGCGACCTGTTCCTGTGTTTGACCACTCATTTAGGAAAAAAGGTTCTTCTTAACTTTAAATGAAATTTCCTGTGTTACAGTTTGTACCCATTGCCTCTTCTCCTTTCACTGGATACCACTGAAGAGTTTGATGCCATCTTCTGTGCTTCCTCTCACAAAGTACTTACACACATGGATAAGATCCCTCTTCAAACATCTCTTTTTGAGGCTAAACAGTCTCAGCTCTCTCAGCCTTCCCTTCTATGACAGGTGCTCCAATCCCTTAATTGCTAATTGCTGGAGTCACTCCAGTATGTCCATGTTTCTTTGGAATTGGGGAACCCAGAACTGGGCCTGGTACTCCAGATGTTTCATCAGTGATGAGGAGAAGTGAAGGATTATCTCCCTCAGCCTGCTGCCAGTGCTCTTCCTACTGCAACCCAGGAGGCTATTGGCCACCTTTGTTGCATGGGTGCATTCCTGGCTCATGTTCAACTTGTCTACCAGGCTGCCCAGGTCCTTTTCTGAAAGAAAAGGTAGAAAGGATAACATTGTGACTTCCTCAGTGCTACCACTAGGTTTTTTGATACTTCATTCTTGACTCGGAGCCATTGCTGTGTGCATCAGGCTATTTCTTGGTAATCTCGGATGATCTTGGAAAAAGATTTTTGATTCTTACTGTCATACAGCAAAGTTTAACAATGGGTTCAACAAATGCTACCACTCCTAGAAATAGAATAAGAAAAA